ATAGAGAACCTAGTCCATACAATAGATATTATAGAGAACCTAGTCCATACAATAGATATTATAGAGAACCTAGTCCATACAATAGATATTATAGAGAACCTAGTCCATACAATAGATATTATAGAGAACCTAGTCCATACAATAGATAATATAGAAAACCTAGTTCATACCATAGATATTATAGAAACCTAGTCCATAGAATAGATATTATAAGAACCTAGTCCATACAATAGATGTTAAAGATAACCTAGTCCATACAATTGATATTACGGAGAACCTAGCCCATATGTAATAAATATCGTAGTAAACCCCATATCTATTACATTGTACATTAACCTAACTACATTTATAAATAACTTCGTAAGACCTATATTGTGATTAATCTAACTACGTTTGTAAATAAAAACTTAAAATTAGGTTCATTGACTAAACCTGTATCATAAAATTCAAAATATAGTTAGTTGGAATAATACTCCGCTTGATTAAGGTGTTAGAGAAATTTGTTCCTCATTTAGCCAAAACGAGAGGGGACCTTAGTCACATCTTGAAAGATAGATCTAAGCTTGGAAGTACATTTATTGAGGAATATCCAGTTCGAGATTAGTATTAAGGAACCTCCAGTTCAAGATTAGTATTAAGGAATCTCCAGTTCGAGATTAGTATTAAGGAATCTCCAGTTTGAGATTAGTATTAAGGAATCTCCAGTTCAAGATTAGTATTAAGGAATCTCCAGTTCGAGATTAAGTTGTATCTGTACGATACAGTATTGAGGAACCTTGAGTTCTATTTTGAGTTGTATCTCGTTAGACAGATACCTGAGCATACAGATGGAGTTGTATCCGGATTGATATTGACTAAGGTATTATTGAGGAACCTTGAGTTCGAGATTGAGTTGTATCTTGTAAGACAGATACCCGAGAATACGGAAGGTTATACCTGGATTGGTAAGGATTTAGAACTATTTATTTAAGTAGGGCAATTTACACATACAATAGATATTATAAAGAGAACCTGGTTATACAAAAGATATTATAATTGAGAATTAACCATCTTTTCAGCTTCAAAAATTAAGATTTAATTTCAGAGCACACCTGCACCTGAACATTCCACATCTCAAAATGAACCTTGATATTGAGTTGGAGCTAAATAAACAAAATAATTTAAGAGGTTGGAGATAAACTAAAATGTCCAAATCCAACTCAACTTAAGATATGTTTACTTCAAGCATATTTTGACCTTCTCTCTTGTTTAGAATCGCCCTGTATATTAAGGAAAAACTTCTGCACAGGAAATATACGGACTTGAGAAGTTTTATAAGGTTTTAAAGACTGTTGAACTATGTACTCTGACTGAAATAAACCTTGGACTTTGAATATACTTTATAATCAGCTGCAGATACCGTGCAATTAATTGAACTTTAAGACAAGTAAGTATATTAGGGAAGCTATTAAAATGTTGACATATTGTGATGTCAAGGGAGGAGGGGGAGGGGGTGGTTAGGCCCTAAATCTCAAACTCGAAAAATACATGCAGTAAGTTCATCATTGCTGAAGCCGGTTTATTTGCTTTATGTTCTTGTTGGAGTTTTGCATTTGATTATCAAGTACGATAAAAATGTTATGTTACTATGTTGATAAAACTGCTTTTTAGCGAGAGGCATCAATTTCATCAATGGGATATTTTTTTTTGGGGGGGGGGGTGAGGGGAAAGAAAAAGTGGATAAGTTTTTGTGATTTCAAAACGGAATGTCCATTCCATACAAAGGGTAGGGGGGGGCCTTCTGACTTTATTGCTAGAGATTTCTCTCTGATTTTTTACATGCAGGCCTGAATTGTGATCCAGTTTTTGAATCAAACACCAAAGTGGGAAAACAAAAAATTTTCCCCCTCATTTTTCGAACATTTTCTTTAAAAACTTTGTGTTAGGTCCATGTAGGGTGTGTAAAGCCATCAATATTAGGTCAGGAAACTCAATTCTGGACTAAATAATGCATTTCCCACTCTCCTTATACCATTTCCCCCCCCGCATTTTCCCCCTCCAAAAGGCAAAATAAGCCTCCTTCCTGACTTTATTACTAGAGATTTCTCTCTGATTTTTTTAATGCAGACCTGAATTGTGATCTAGTTTTTGAATCAAACACCAAAATGTGGGGGAAAAAATAATTTTTCTCTGTAAAAAAAATGAAGGAAAAAGATAATTTCTTGTAAGTAATTCTTTTTTAGGACTAAATGTCATTTATATAATTTTATGAACAATTAAATATTGATGTTTTTAAGTTATTGTTTATAATATGTGTATGTTTTATATAGTTCATTAATCAATTTTTTTTAAAGTTTACAAATGTTTAAAAAATAATCATTTGATCTATGCTCAGTGATTCATCATCTAACTTAAATGTAAAATAATATTGTAGATAAATTATTATCATAATTATCAAGAATAGTTTTCTTAGTTATATATATGTTTAATCTTTTGAATAGTTTTATATGAATATCATGATTTTTAGCAAATGGAAATAAATCCAATATTTTTTTGTAAAATCGGAAATCCGCAAAACCTATTTGGGAAAATCTACAAATCTACTGAATATCTACTGACTAAGGAGTACGAGAAAAGGCGAAATTGAAACTGCATGGTGAGTATTAATAAAGGGTAATAGCGAACATATTACATCGAAATCAAAGGATATATAAGTTTTCTATTGTTGTATTTAAAAATGACCGTTTCCCTTCATACTTTGCCTTTGTTCCATGTCTGATTATTTTTTTTCTAAAATTTTCGTCTCTGATTTTATTCGCGAATTTAAAGCAGAACAAAGGCAAAGTATGAAGGAAACTCCCATTTTAAGATACGACTTAACAAAAGAAAACTTGTATAAACATTTGTAAACTTTGAAAAAATAGATTAATGAACTAGATAAATCATGCACACATTATAAAAAAATAAATTAAAAACGTCAATATTTAATTGTAAAAAAAGAATTACTTACAAGAAATCATCTTTATCAGTTCAGTTTTTTACAGAATAATTGTTGAGGTAAACATATCCAGCTCTATTCAAGCTGACGTCTGGTTTACCCAAAATATTCTGAGGGGGTCCGTAAAATAAATAGCTCTGAAATATGCGGGAACAATTTTAACGAGCTCCCAATATAATTATTCAATTAAAAAACTAAATCTGCGCTAATCCATTATTAATAGGTTACGATGACGATATTTTATAAATTCTTTCGATTCCTCTGAAGTTCTGCAGGTTGAACTGTAGATAACTCATATCCTAACTGAGTTTATTAAGATTCAGCCAGGGCATACTTTGATCTATTAAATTTGACGTAAAGTCTGAACTCGAGCCGGTATTAACATCAATGCGAATCTGGGTAGTGGGTAGTATTGAATAGAAATAATCCTAGATGATATTTTGAAATAAATATTTTTCTCAAAACAAAAATATCCTGTCGATCATGAAATTTCCTGTACATAGATTTATACTAACTAGCTTCGCGCCCATCTTCTAAATTAATTGTAAACATGTTCTCTTTGCGTACATCGCAAAACAAAACAAAAATAATTCGCGGATTTTCACAAAAAATTTCGTGGATTTTCAAAATTTTAAAAAATTTAATGAAGATCAAATTTTGATGGAGACAAATATTTAAAATTTCAATCATTCATAAACCTTCCCTGGGGTCCCTAGATGTCCCACAAAAAAATTGGGCCCGATCGGTTCAGTCGTTTTGACGTTTATTGGATACAAACAGACAGACAGACAAACAAACAAACAGACAGACAAGCCAAATTTAAATATAGATTAAGTTTAACACGAAACTGTTATTTAGTTTGTATGTTTATATGATAACCAGAAAACATTAGAATAGGAAGACGACATCATAGCAATTTTAAGTGTCTGTGATGTTGATAGAAAGCAAATATTGTACTAGACACTTATGAAATCTCCAATTTAGTAATATCGGGTTGTTTACAATCAAGGGATGTAATCCGTCGTCTTTGCAATATGGACAGAGATCAGGGACAGAAGGGAATCGGTGTTATAGGTATAGATCATGTAGTGACATACAGTACATCGGATAATCGAGAGTTGCGGCATCAGTGTACACTGTACACAGATCTGGGGTATGTAAACAGTAGACAGTTTTTCTATACCATAGCATGAAAGATTTGTTGTATAAAACTGCAAATTAAGAAGTTATACGATCATCAGTAAACTTGAAAAATTATCCTACGGGCACAACAATACTTCTCCGAAATATAAGAGCTTATACTAAGGTAAAATATGAATTTTGTTTAAATAATTTACAATTTTAAAGTTTTTGAAAAATCAATTTCTTTAACAGAGCTAGACTATCTCTCCACGGCTTATGTCATTTGTGGAAATATTTATTGAAAGAAGAATGGAAAGCTAGACCAACCAACGCATATTTTGTTTTATAGACTGTAACATATTTTCAAAATTGGATTTGTCTTAAAGGAACATTTGATAATTTTTTCATATCAAGGGTGATGACAGCCCACGGCCACTATATATCTTAAGCTTAAACATAATCTTGTTTAGGTTTCATGATGCCGGGTCTGTCAGGAGATTTATGTACTGCATGAAGTTCACAAGTGAAGGAAATCAGGAAAATCATGAAGTTGTATTTTAAGAAATCTTTGAGAAAAGAAAAAGATAGAGTTGTGGAGTATTTTACAATAATTAGAAACCTAATTAAAATATTGTTCTTTTTTTCATTAATAAATGGTTAAGCCCACCATGTTGTACATTCTTTATAAAATTATTCTCACAGCTTCGTCAGATTTAGAATTTGTTTCTTTCGAGTTGGATAATGTATAAAGATTTTAGATATTGGTTTACATACCATTTAATTTAACTGTGTCTTGCACTCTCCGTTTAGTTATCAAATAAGCTTTTTAAAGTAAAAAAGAAATAAAAACATGGCTATTTTTACTATTTTTGCGATATAATTTTCCGTTTTTGGCCTTTCATTCCAAGTTAATTCACTTATCACATAAACAGAGGCATATTGGATGTTAAATTTTTATGATGCATATAAATTGAAATTGATCTTGTTTTTCTGAGTAAAATTCTCAATTTGGAGGACAAAAAATATTTTGGGACAAAAAACTTTTGTATATGATAATGGATTTTTTGAAAATTCAAAAACTTTATTTTGTCAATTCAAAAGTGTTTAACTTTAACAGAGATAGTGACATACCTTGCTGGGAACCATGCTTTTTTAGTCAAAAAATTACAGTTTAAATTCTTCCAACTTATGCTATGTCAAAAAACCAAAATAAGGTTAACAAATTTAAAATACATCAATAACATTTTTAGCATACAAGTTAGGGCCGAACCGTGGGGGGGGGGGGACCACGCCCCCATGTGCCCCATCCCTCTTGTAGGATGAAATGGAAGGAATACTCGCGCGCTTGGCTGCGCTTATAATTCTCAGTATTCTCGAACCCCTTTTTATATCAAAAGAGCCATTTTGAATGTTTTGCGTCATGTTTTTCATATTGCTAAATATTTTTTGAATATTTGAACTTTGCACAAGGAGTTAGAAAAACGAATTGACAAATGTACATTAATTGGTTTCTGCATTTTCATTCATGCTTAAAATGACGTCTACAAAAATCCCCCTCTTCTTTAAATGTAAATGTTAACCTTTATGTTCAATGATAAGGAGTCTGTACAATTTCCCTGTACAAACTGTCTATCTATACTATTCTATACTCTACCCTTTCTCCGTTTACAATGCACAATTTCTGTGTCTAATACTCCTTGGACTTTTTGAAGTTCTAATTTGATTCTAAAAGTCGTTTTCCTTATTTTCTCGGTATCACTGTAGTAATTTTTTAAAATATATAGTTTATTTTAATTCTCGTAAATTTATAAACAATTTGCTGTTAAACAATACATATTTTAAAACGTAGTATTTGTACTTTATTCAACATTATATATTTACATATTTTATCTGTGATAGATGTAGATATTTGGTTGGGGTAAGATCTAAATTTTTCATGTTTAAGTTTTTTCACAAAAAATTAGACCATAAAGACGACAAAAGTTCTTTAAATATAATTATATCAAGGTTGCATTTGGTCTTCTGTTTAAACTTTAATTAATTTACTTAAAGGGAGTGTTCGCGAAAAGTTAAAGGGGGTATAGGCTGATATTGAATTCGATATCGATTGCAACTAATTTTGAGCGTAGCGTCCATATAAACTAACAAAGTTGCATTATTCCCTCCAGATCGTAAACAAAGCAATCATAGAGTTGCATTATTCCCTCCAGATCGTAAACAAGTCAATCAAAGTTTTCGCAAACACTCCTTTTATGAAAAAGATCCCTAGTGTGTAACTCTGTATACATTTGCAAAGGGGTTCAGGAGTTGTAGGATTTGGTACAAAACTTTTAAAATGGTTGGTTGTCATCAGGTTTCCTACTCCATATGCAGTCTGCGGACTGCATTAAGATCAAGAGGATGAGAATCCAGGTATTGAGAATGTGTAATATTTACAAACTTGCAGGTTTCAGCTAACACAGGCCAATGCGAGATCTAAAAAATATCAAAAATTCTAAACTTTTGAAAATATTTTCTTTGATGATTTAATGAATTGTTATTACATGATGGCTGATGGTAGTGTTGATATCTAGAACTGCGCGGTAGGTTGGAGGACGGTTCAGCTCCTCTCCTCCCTGTAGTCCGGAACCTTCTCCGAGAAGGGTCCGAATACAGGCAACTACAGATTCAGCTACCTCCTCCCCCACATACCCACCCTCTAGTCCCAGAACCAACTAAATAAAAAATGACTGGATGAATAAAAGATTCAAGGAAGACGCTAAAAAAAAAGTTTGACAAAATATGATTAAAAGTGGATTATGTCTCAAATCTTCTGATATCTTGATAAACGTGCAAGATAACAGTATAAATTGGCTTGAAGAAGTTAAGAATATGAGTCATTTAAAAGTTTTATTTAACACTTTCAATGAAATGATATCTTTAAAAAAAGAACTGATCCCATTTTAAATTGTTTAAAATCTCTGTTTACCTTCCCTTCTGCTAGTTGCATTAGGTAGGATGTAAGAACTCCGAAGCATGTCGGAGATACGGAGTAACCTCCGAGAGCTGAGGGATGACCAGCGGTTGCATCAAACCCGGCCGAGACCAAGATTATGCCGGGACTGAAACTCTAAAAGTATTTATTTCATTTATCTAAATAATTGATGTTTAGAAATATAATTTATTTTTATTTTGTTTGTATATGTATATACATGGTGAAATAAGGTCTACAGACTCGTTTCTAATCGGATTTCCAGGATAGAGACCATTTTTAATATCTACGTACAATTTTCGTTTCAATAAGTTCAATTTTAGGCTTGTAGATCTAGAAATGACGATTTTAAAGGCTCATAACGTTTCCAACTGGACTTGGAGTGAGTATATTTGGTAAAAATATAGATAATCTCGTTCGCACATAAGGGCATCCTCTCTCTGCACATTTTCTTAATCGGATTTTCAAGATTGAGACCATTTTTAATATCTATGTACAATTTACGATTCAATGAGCTCAATAAAATTGTAGATCTAATCCGATTATAAGCCCGCCTGTAGACCCTTATACAAAATTGTGCAAACTGAGATTATCTTATTTTTTACAAAATTGCTCTCTCCAGTTGGAAACTTTAGGAGCCTATAAAATTGTCGTTTTTATATCTACATCTTAAAATCGGAAATTGTACGTAGATTTAAAAAATGGTCTCAATCTTGAAAATCAAATTACAAACGAGTCTGGAGACCCTTATTTCCGGTTTTTTAAGACGCCTTGTATAAAATAAATACATATATAAGCTAATGTTTATATTTAAAATACATTTTTTCAGTTGTATATCTTAAAGTTCGTAAAGGGATTTTTTTAGATTTTCAGATAAAAATCAATTGATAATTTAGAATGATAAAACTATAGTTTCTCGTATTTTCACTCCGACCGAAAACAACTTTATTTGAACATATAGAGATTTATCTCAACAATAGATTTTATTTCAGAAAAAAATATTAATTTATTTTAGAATAAATACACTTCCAAAACAAGAGGTTAGGTGGATGCTTTCATAAAAACATAAAATTGTTTAAGGTTTTTAAAGATTTTATAAAAACAAAATTTTGACATTGAGAGGATATCGCATGTGTTATTTTTACTTAGAGTCATATTTTTAGTAATTAATAACTTTAAAGGAATTGATTCCTTGCCACAAATTCAGATTTTCTTATCCCTATATCTTTGCAACCTTGTGGTATAACCCTTTTATATTTCGAACTTGGATTATTTTATCTAACAGAATTCACATTTAAAATATTTAAGGTCTACGACATTGGGTTGCAAAGATATAGGGATTAGAAAATCAGAGTTTGTAGCAAAGACTCAATTCCTTACTCAATTTTCTGAACCATCCCTTTAAAACTGGTATAAACTGCATCTCCAGGTTTTAGTTCAAATTATATGTAAAGAACTGCATAATAAGTATTGATGCATGTATGTATTGTTCTAAGCTTACAACAATAATTTCAACTTTTTATTGCTGATTTATTATTATCCGTAAATTTTAATTTAAAAAAATGACAATTCTTAACTTTCTTAGAAATCAAAATTTTGTGGAAGCAACATCATCAAAATAACATTTTGTTTTCGATGTTCACATTATACATTTATAAACGGGGAGAGTTTAAATAAATAAATAATATTAAAGCCTAAAAGGCAACAAAAACAAACAAGCTCGGAATGAAACTTTTAAATTTAGAAATTATAAATAAAGTTCAAGTCAATAAAAATAAAACATTTACAATACAAAGCACCCAATCGGTTGGGATGAGAGAGTCATCTCTGTACAATACAAAACACCCAATCGGTTGGGATGAGAGAGTCATCTCTGTACAATACAAAGCACCCAATCGGTTGGGATGTGAGAGTCATCTCTGTACAATACAAAGCACCCAATCGGTTGGGATGAGAGAGTCGTCTCTGTACAATACAAAGCACCCAATCGGTTGGGATAAGAGAGTCATCTCTGTACAATACAAAGCACCCAATCGGTTGGGATGAGAGAGTCATCTCTGTACAATACAAAGCACCCAATCGGTTGGGATGAGAGAGTCATCTCTGTACGTTCTTTGCTTGTCTATCTGTCTGTATCCAGTAAACATCAAAACGGCTGAACCGATCGAGACCAATTATTTTTGTAGCAACTAACATGACCTCAGATTATATTTATGGACGGGCAAGTTTGAAAAATGTCTGAAGTAAAAATAACGACATTTGTTACATTTGAAAATGCACCAATTTCAACAGAAAAATCTGAAAAAAATGCGTTAACTTAAAAAAGAAAACCGTTATAGCTAGAATTTTTACTTTAAAAGGGCGTTAAGCGCCCTCAATATCTAGTATGGTTAATATGTCTTAGTAAAATATTAGAAATTCTTTAGTTTTCAGATTGAGTTTAGAGAAATATATTTTCAATGAAAAAGTTGAAAAAATGCTTTCAGCAGAGAAATAAATGTCAAAGTTAGTTGAGATTTGGTTTCAATAAATAAAAACCGCATTGCACTGTTTTTAAACTCTAGGCAGGTCACCAGATTCCAAATATATGTAGAAAATAGTATTATACCGATTATATACCGGTTGAGAACTTGTACCATTAGTTTTTTAGTTCTTATTCTCATAATTACCATTGTCTGTAAACGTTAAAAGTACCATTCTGAATCGTATCATCCAGTGTACCAGGTATATACCTTAATAATAGGAAGAACTACTGCTCTAAGAGCAGCAAGGTATACTCGGCATCTATCCAGTGTACCAGGTATATACCTTAATAATAGGAAGAACTACTGCTCTAAGAGCAGCAAGGTATACTCGGCATCTATCCAGTGTACCAGGTATATACCTTAATAATAGGAAGAACTACTGCTCTAAGAGCAGCGAGGTACTCGGCATCTCCAAGAGGGCGTTCATTTAAAGACCAAGCTATGTTTACATTTGCCCCCAGCCCTTCTCCAGATCCTGAAACAATGGAAAAAAATCTTTAAATTTTTTTCTTCTTTATTTCAAAATGTAAACAAAAAGGAACATGTTCACAATTTAAATAGAAGATGGGCGCGAAGCACCCTAAAAGCCTAATCATTATGAATTTCATTCTAGGCGTATTACAAAGTTATCATCGTGCTATAATATTGAATGAGCTGTATATTATGGCACGGTGCTATAATATTAAATGAGCTGTATATTAAAGCACGGTGCTATAATATTGAATTAGCTGTATATTATAGCACGGTGCTAATTTGTTAAATGAGCTGTATATTATAGCANGTGCTGTAATGTTGAATAAGCTGTATATTATAGCACGGTGCTGTAATGTTGAATAAGCTGTATATTATAGCACGGTGCTATAATATTGAATGAGCTGTATATTATAGCATGGTGCTGTAATGTTGAATGAGCTGTATATTGTATTGTATTGTATTGTATTGTATATTGTGTTATAAAGTTTTTTTTGGTTCTCAGATTTTCTCCAAAAAAGAAATAAGGTTTTTGCCGCAAGCGCTGATTTCCTATTTCCTATATCTTTCTAAACTTTGAATTCTGTTAGATCAAATAATCTAAGTTTAAAATATCAAAGGTTTAAACCATCATGTGGCAAAGATATAGGAATCAGACAATTTGAGTTTGTGGCAAAAACTCATTTCCTTTAGGATGTTTCTGAAAACTTTTTCTCAATTTAAATGAAAATAAAATCAAAATTAACTATCATTTTTTTATTTCTGCTTTTTTTTAAAAAAGAGCTTTTATCTCGGTAGAAATAACCATTTCATCAAGACAAGTACACAAGCATTTTTGAAAAATTACCTTTAACACTATATTATTTTATACGACCTTTTATAAAGCTTTTAGACTCACATTTTCTCGCTTTTTGCAAATTTTATTTTGTCCCTCGTAACAAAATATAATCTAAAAAGACTTTAACCTTCACGGTAAAGAAACATTTTGTTGTATAATTTGATAAAATAAAATGATGCCATGCAAAAAAAATTATGATTTTTTAAAATGTAAAAATAAAGAATGGATAATCTTTTTTTCAAGAGATTCTGCAACGCAATGTAAACTAGTTTAAAAACTAGTGTCACATAGATCCAAACTAGTGTCACATAGATCCAAACTGCTTTGAAAAGTTGCATCCACTTTTACGACTGGGTCGACTTTGAAGTGACGTAACACTTATCATTTGTTTTTACATATATACTTTTTTGTAGCTCTAGAGATGTACATTTTGGAACTGTAAAACGGTAGGTTTTAAGAAATAATTGGAAAAACTATTATAGATTTTTCCGTGAGAGCTTGAAACTTTTGGTTAGCTGTGGTGTGCGCATTTCTACCGTGTTAGACAAGATATCAACTTACATATTCAAAACTAGTAATAAACGTCATCCTAAAATTATTTAAAGAAATATTTCTCATCATTTTCCGCATTTTTTTCAGATGAGAGGATGAACGCAACAAAGTTCATGTTAAGATTGACAAAATTAATAATAAAACAAATATAGTTTTATCACAATAAACATTTTTTAATTAATAATAGGACACAGAAAAGTTGATTTTTCCCCCTCAAAATTCATTGTAAAATTTTCTGTTGAATTTCATTATCCATATTGTTGGTCTGTTTGTATCCAAACAACGTCAAAACAAAACAGGTTTATGTCGAAATTGAAAAGTTTTATGAATTTTATGATTTATGAAATAAAATCAGTTTAAACAGAAAAATTCGCATTCATTTCAGTTTTTTTAGAACGATGAAAAAATGTTGGTTTGAAAAGCAACGTTTAAAATTTAATTTGAAACAAATCATGTAAAGAAAGAAATTAAGTTTTTGTTTAAAACTCAAAAAATTTCTAATCTCTATATCTTTATAACCTGATAATGTAAAGCTGTCATATTTCAAACTTATAGACTATTTGATCTAAAGAATTAATAATTTGAAATATCTAAGGTCTACGACTTAAGTGGCAAAAATATACGGATTAGAAATCAGAGTTTGTGGCAAAGACTCAATTCTTTATGAGAAATATTGTTGAGAAAGTTTCTAACCTGTTTCCTCCGGAGAACCAGTTCCTGGGAAGAAGTTCCCTCCGTCGTGTCGATGCATTGAGATATACAAAACCTAGGAGTATATTTACAGTAGGAATATATAGAGAGATACTAACCCTAGGAGTATATACTAAACCTAAGAGTATATTTATAGATAGGAAAATAAATTGAGATATACAAAACCTAGGAGTATATTCGTAGATGGAATACATAGAGATATACAAAACCTAGGAGTATTTTTACAGTTGGAATATATAGAGATATACTAAACATAGGAGTATATACTAAACCTAGGAGTATATTTATAGACGGAAAATATTGAGATATCCAAAACCTAGCAGTTTATTCATAGATGGAATACATAGAGATATACAAAACCTAGGAGTGTATTCAAGATAGAATATAGGGATATATAAAACCAAGGAGTATATGCATAGATTGAATACATACAGATTTATAAAACCTAGAAGTATATTCATAGATGGAATACATAGAGATAAACAAGACCTAGGAGTATATTTATAGATGGAATATATATAGATATATAAGACCTATGAATCTATTGATAGATAAAGAAAAATGTTTATCAATAATAGAAATTTATTAAGATGTACGTCATTATATTTATGACATGATTAGGCTAATCATGCTTCATATTCATTTGGTTTCAGTTCAAATGAATAATGGGTTTCACAAACAAACAAGTAAACAAACGTAGATAGTTAATAATGCACAACGTAGGTCAGGTTTTTAGAATATTGTGTTACCCGATATTTATTACACCTATAGACAATCAATGTGCAATGGAAAAGTACAAATCAAGTTTGTACAAATATGTTTAAATTCAGAAGAAAATATGTAAAAATAACAATAATGAATAATCAAATACTGTTGAAAACAATACCTCAGGATCCGAGTAGAATGCTTTCTGGGTTCCATTCCCATGATGAACATCCTTTATAAATGATTAAATCTAAAATATCTATTTTGATATATTTCAAAATCTGAGCAAAGCATTAATCAATAGAAGTATAGTATAGATTTTACTGTTCTTTTTTTACCTTGAAAAACTTAATTAAGTCGAGAAAAAAATTCAGCCTTCGGATCGTCAAATTTGAAGAGTTTAAGGTCATCTTTAAAATCTTATCCATTATGGGTAACCCCCTGAATGTTAATGAAAATGTGTTAAACTAACCCAGTCTAAGATAACAACTCTCTTCTTAAAGTTTCTCCTGAACTGCCGGGCAGAGATGGCGATATTGTTGAAGTAACAGAACCCTAGAGCTTGGTTCTCCTCGGCATGATGACCTGGAGGACGGATCAAACCAAACCCGTTCCTCAGTGTTCCAGATCCAACTGGAGAAAATAAGTAACTATCAGGTTTGTCTCTTTTCTTTTCTCATATTTGATGGTTGCAATAGCTATTAAATAAGTTGGGTCATTATTGAAAATATATTACATATTATTATTAAGTACAATATACTTTAGTTTGGCGTGAGTCATACTTAACGAGTACTTTATTTCTCTGCCATCTTAATTTTATGTTTTTATCTTCTGGTTTTTACTTTTTATTTTTCCTCTTTCTCTTTTTATCTCGCGTTATCTATGTAGTATTTGGCAACACAAAAAGTCTGCAGAGAATGTGAAAGCTTTGTTAAAGTAACTAATTATTGAAACTCTCATTTTCTTATCCGTATATATTTGCAACCTGGTGGCGTTAATTTATTCAAACTTGACTATTAGATGTAGCAGAATTGATAATTTGAAATATTAAGGTTTACGAGATCAGACTGCTAAGATATGAGGATTAAATATATCAAATTTGTGTAATCATGGACTGAATTTAATGAATTTGAGATACGTCGCGATTTTCGCGAAAGAATGCGAAATTTCGCGAAAAAATTTGCGAAATACGAACGAAAATTTTTGCTTTTTTCGCAAAACGTGTCTTTAGCTGCAAACCTTAGTTTAAACAGACCCATTTCACTTAATAATTTTCTAGTACAGCTATTTGCTGTGTAATCCCCATTAAATAAGCTGAAATATTGCTATAATGTCGTCTTCTTATTCCATTGTTTTCTGGTTATCACTGTATCTACTGCCGGTTTAAATTGAAACACCGATTCAATGTTAAAGATTAAGAAAGGATTTAAATCGGTGATTCAAATTGGATAGTTTAAATTCATTAAATTCGGGCCTGGTTCGATTCTTGTTTTTATTTTTTACCTTTATTTACCAATTCTATAAGAGACCCAGCTGCTACCTTAGCAGCGGTTGGTGTATTCACTTCATTCCATACTGTATCCGTATCCACACCCCATCCTCCGCACGGTAGGCGGAGCAGTTCAGCTCCGCCTCCTCCTCCTCGGACAAGCGGAGACACACCTACTCAAGATAAGGTTTAAAGGTTTATAAGTATTAAATAAAAAATATATGTTTTACAAAATAATTACCGAAAAGTTGAACGTGGTCCTCTAAATGGCAGGTTTTGAGTTCGTCTATTGTTGCTCTACGACGTACTAATTCACATCTAAAAATGTACACGTTAATATTATGTAAACGTTAATATTATGTACAAGCTTTAGATTTTTGAAATTTTTTGAATTTTTTAAAAGAAAAAGGAATAGAGTTTTTGCCACAAACTTTGATTTTCTAATCGCTGTATCCTTGCTTCTAAGTGTGATAGACCATAGATATTTCAAATTAAAATTAATTCTGTATGATCAAATTTACTAAATTTGAAATATGAAAGGTTTAAACTCTCAGGTTGCAAAGATATTGGGAAAATAATAGGTTTACTCCTTGGATTAAATGTAGGTTTTCTACAATTTCTTTTTAAGTTTTAAATTGATTTTTATAATTATTTATGTAACTTTGATCAAATTACCATCTATTTGTAAATATCCCCTTGCACAACGTACATATATTACACAAACACCCACGTTGTACACTGCACTGTATACAGTGTGTGTACACTACAGTAAGCACATTTATAAATTGTCTTTTATTGTCTGAGAAAGAAATCTACGAGTCCAATGTCGTCTCTATGTTTGTTAAATCTTAAATTAAAATTGAATTTTTTAGTTGACTATCACATAAATTATGTTTAAATTAGTTTAATGAAATTTATTAAGTGCATGGAGGTTTAAAGTCCAAGGATTGCGTATAGAATGTGCTTTCTGAGTTGCGGCATGAAAGATATATTATCTAAAGAACGCGGCATGGAAACAATATGGCGCAGAAAAAGTTGAAAAAACATGGAGAAAGCTATCTAAACTTTAAATGTTTTGTTGAAGATGAAAGAAAAAGATAAATAACCGACAACAGAGAGAATATAATCTTTACTTTAGTTTACTTTTTACTGCAAAATACAGAATAATATATATATAATACTATCGATTATTATATCTATAATATTTATAATATTATTTAACAACGTTCTAATGTACTAATATAGTAAAAATATTTAATGCCATTTAAAACGATAATTATTAACATAATTAATAAGATAATTTACATGATTCCCTGCCGCAACTGTAAATTTGTTTCTTTATAGTATTTAAAAGAATATATGTAAGGAAAATTACTTTTTGACCCTGAAATCATATTATCTGAGTTTTAGGTCGTCTTTACAGTCTCAATGTGTGTGGGTAACCCTGTAGTCATAACTGAATTGTTTAAAGCGGAATGATAGTTTTTTTTTGGTATTTTAACTAGAAATAACGCGAAGGAAAAAATTGTGTCTTTGCGACAAACTCTCAGGGGTGTACAACAGCATTTGTGTAGGAGGGGGGGGGGCAAATTTTGTCCCCCCCCTTGGCAACATTGTGCCCCCCCTTAAAATCCCCTTTTTTGAAAAACAAATATTGATACCTTTTTTAACTATATAAAACTTAAATTTATGTAATTTTCTTAAGGGGGGGGGCGCACAATGTTGCCGAGGGGGGGGCACAAAAGCAGGCAATCCCTCTTAATACTATGGTGTAACCTTCAAGGGATGAAAAATATAGATGGAAACGTTTCTAAAAAATATCTATATTTTCATAGGATTGATACATATTGTATAATAAATTATGATATCAAAATATATATTTACGCTGAAGGCAGTATTGATTAAAGCTTTTTTAATGAAATTTTGTTAGCTAAGGGCAAAAGTGAGATTTTAAAGTATTTTTTCTATACGATGTGATTATACTTAAATGGAATACATGCGTAATTTCAAATAACCCTCCATTTATAGAGTGGCATGTCCGATGTACCTTTGAAACCTTCATTTCTCCATCGTTTCTGAAGCAAGAAATGCGGGAGTCACTTTTGTAAAGAAACCACAAATTAAAATATTCAGCTTTCAAAATGGGAAACATGGATTTTTAATGCAATAATTGGTCAGACAAAGCTTTGAAGGATATTGTTGTGAATCAGAATATATTTTATTTCTTTTCTTAATCTTTTAGTTTGGGTGAGTGCAATGCAATGCAATGTAGAATATAGATTGCCTGCAGCCTGAGGAAGATGTAATATTAAAAGAACCCCCACCCCATGAGTCCCCCCCCTTTTTAACTAGAAAAAACGCCAGATTTTGCAATTTAACTAGAAAAAACGCATACAGATTTTGTAAATTGTAACGCAACTAAAATATTTAATAAATCTTACTTCCCTTCCACTTCTATGAGGGATATGACTGTACAAAATATTAAAAAGATATTAAAAGTAGATATGGATATATTTTCCAAATTCTTTACAAGACTAGTACATTAAGTTAACTTTAAGTACGTGTGGCGTTATTTAAGATTTGTGTATACACTACAATGTACAGTGTATACTGTACAGAACGATGTCAATAATGTCAAAATATAATATAATATAATATAATATAATATAATATAATACGGTGATAACCAGAAAACTGTAGAATAGAAAGACGACGTTACAGCAGTACTGAATTGCATTTGATGTTGTTTCAAAGTGATCTAATTTCTTATTAAGTGAAATGGGTCTGTTTACACTGCACAATTACTGTGCCTCATATTCATTGAACTATTTAAAGCCATAAATTGAGTTTAAAAGTCGACTTCCTATTCCAGAGTTTTCTGGTTATCACTATATATATTAAGGTTTTTTATTCAGTTCTTACTTTGTACTTTCCTCTCAATATTCTATACCTAGATAAGAGTCCTGTATCACGCAATCTGGAAACAATTCTCTCAACCCGTCCTGGAGACTCAGGGTGCAACAATTCATCTCCACACAGACATGAGTGTTGGAGCATCACAGGATCCCAGGCTAGACCCGTCCTACCTAGAGAGATACCTGGAGAACCTAGAGTAACTAGAGGACTAGATCTGGTTCTGGAGATAGGTTTAGGTTTGCTCTTACTTCCTCCATCCTGGGAGGAATGTCTGCTTTTACCCGGAGACGAGGAATCCTCGTTAGGCATACATCGGGTCTAGATAAACGAAAATTATAAAGGAATTGAGTCTCTGTCACAGATTCAAATTTTCTAATTCCTATGTCTTTGGAATCTTATGGTGTAAACCTTTGATATTTCAAACTTAAATTATTTAATCAAACAGAATTCATAGATTGAAATATCCAGGGTCTACAATTTTGGGTTGTGAAGATGTATGAATCAGAAAATTAGAGTTTGTGGCAAAGACTCAATTCCCTTTTATTTGTTATATAATAAATTAAACCCGAGATTTTATGTTTTTTTTAATAGAATCCAACTTAGCCTTTACTGGATAGAAATCCAAGAAACACAAAGGATGAGACTTCATTGACGACCTAAATCTCGTTAATTTATTTGTCTGTAGGTTGAATTTGGTCTTCTGCCGAAAATACAGTGTTTAAATGGTTTTCTGATGATTTGGCAATGAATGAAAAAGTTTACAGAATTACAGGGAACCAGGAATAAATAAAAAAGTTTACAGAATTACAGGGAACCAGGAATAAATGAAAAAGTTTACAGAATTACAGGGAACCAGGAATAAATGAAAAAGTTTACAGAATTACAGGGAACCAGAAATAAATGAAAAAGTTTACAGAACTACAGGGAACCAGGAATAAATGAAAAATTTTACAGAATTACAGGGAACCAGGAATAAATAAAAAAGTTTACAGAATTTCAAGGAGTCAGGAATAAATGAAAAAGTTTACAGAATTACAGGGAACCAGGAATAAATGAAAAAGTTTACAGAATTACAAGGAGCCAGGAATAAATGAAAAAATTTACAGAATTATAGGGAACCAGGAATACATGAATTCCGTACAAGCTTTTCGGAAGTCTCATCCTTTATGGTTAACCTTGTATCTCCATAACTTCTGCTCAAAAAAATGTTTGAATAGAAAAGCTATAGAGAATATTTAACATCATTCTTAAATTTGTCGTTTTTTTAAAAGTACACTGATAATCCCTTTTATAGAAAAAAGAATCTAACATTATCTATTTTTAACCTGGATTTGAGATAATTCCGCCATAGCAAGCATAGGATCCAAGGACTTAAATGAATCCCCCGGAGCAGATCTATTCTGCCTACTCAGGACGGATTGTCTGATCTGTTGTTTAACCAGAGCATGAGTATCCAGCTCAGGGCTTGTTTTACCCTGACGGATATCAGGAGGAGCAAGCAACCCTAGAGATTTACTATTTTAAGAGATTTGTTCATCCATGATAGAATATGTCCATGTCTGTTCTCTATGCACCTTGTTATTATTTTCTTTGAAAGCATTTCCGGGTGATTTAGTTTGTATCCCCGGCTACTCTTATAAGGTTAGATTCTTTAGATATATATTCTCCAATTATCTTTCAAAATCCAGGAGTTAGCGTAGGGAAACTTTGCCAAAATGTCAAAGTACTGTCTGGGTTAAGATACAAACAATAACTTTCTTTTTATGCTGTAAATTACCTTACCTGGATGCCCAAGAGGAAGCGGAGCAGATTGAGTTCGTCCCACTGGGCGGAGTTTTCCGTGACGAGGCGGAGAGGGCAAATATTGTGGCGGAGCTGCCAGATATCCTCGATAGTCCTCAAGTATAGAGGAAGAGGAGGATCCTAGAGATAGTGGTGAAGCCATGCTACGTGGGCTCCTAGACGAGGACAAGTAGGGATTAGACGGCAGATATTCGTCCTCCTGCACAGGAGATATTCTTGGTAGGGTTCGGAAGAAGGCGGAATTTGATGAGAGCAAGGACGAGACTTCGGCGTCGGTCGACTCTGTCTCTGATGTTCCGTTCCAGGTCGACTCACGTAATATATCATCATGAGATCCACTACGTGGAGATACTCCAGGAACTGCTCCGGGTAGGATTCCAGGTTGGGACGAAATACTAAAACTATTCATTATCTCCCTTTGCTTCTTTTGAAGAACAAACTCCTGAAGTCTGTACTTGACATCAGACTTCTTATTCTCCTGATCCAACCTAGAGTTCATCTCTTCTAGACGCTTGTGCTGATCAATATACTCAAGGAAGTGTGATTTCAAAGTTTTCTCCTGGTTCTCCAGTAGCAGCTGTCTCTGTAGTGTATACTGCTGTTGGAGTAGCTGCTGCTGAGCTGCCTATACAACAATAAGAAATATAATCTTGATAATAAATTTATAGAAAATGTTCCTTCCTTCTGAGAACAAATCATTCGACGATATGGGTGGGGGAGAGGGTGAAGAGGAAGAAGGGAGGGTGGGGGGGGGGTGAAGGATGAATGGAAGGTTTGAAGGGAAGGGTGGGGGAGAGGGTGAAGAGGAAGAAGGGGGGGTGAAGGATGAATGGAAAGTTAGAAGGGAAGGGGGAGGGTGAAGAGGAAGATGGATAAGGAACAGGATTAGATGAGAGATGTCTGCTGGAGTGGAAGAAATCAGGTTTTGAGGGAATAAAAGAAATATGGTTTCTACGTAATTCTCTAACCTGTTGCTGGCGAAGTTGAAGAAGTTGAGAATAGAAAAGTTGATCATGCTGTTCAAGAGCAGCTCCTGTAATTTCAACAGGTAGATGTGAACCCCCTGGTTTATCACAACCTGGAGCTGGAGATGGAAATTCAGGATTCTGAGATAGGTTGGAGAAACCTGTACTCGGAGCTGGATTTGTAAATGACGTCTCTATAGTTACTCTTGGAATACCGGTTGGTACACCATTTACCCAACCTACTCCTCCCCCGCCTCCTCCTTCTAGAAAACATGCACAAAACATTCGGATAGATCGTGCTGCGCGTACTTTTGAAGGTTTCAAGAAGCTTTGCAGACTTTTATCAACATTCTATCTGATTTCAAATAAACGTTGTTCGACATTGGCAAAACCTGTATCCAGTCTTTAGTTGATTATTTTTCAAAACAAAGGAGCTGAGTTTTTGCCACAAACTCGAATTTGTCTAATCCCTATATCTTTACAACATTAGATAAAATAATCTAAGTTTGAAATATCTAAGCTTTACACCTTAAGGTTGCAAAGGCATAGGAATTAGAAAATTTTATTTTATGGCAAAAATAACTTCCTTTTCAGAAATATTTTAATTTTATCTAGAAATCAGACAGAATTTATTGCTTAGGTGTCTTCAAACTAATGGATTTCATGCTTTAAAAATGTTGTGTTGAGAATATCAGTTTGTTGTTCTGACATTTACCTTGAGATTCCCCTCCTTCATCCATCCTATACTGCTCAGGGTACACTGTACACCACAAGAGAGTTCTTTTCGTCTGTGCAAACTCTGGGTGGAGAGTTATAATCCGTCCTGCAGTACTCAGGTTCAAAGTAGAGCTCTAATGAGTTCTACCACGTTTTTTGCAGTGTTCAGGGTTAAGAGTAAACCACACTCCATCCTTCTAACTGCAGTTTGTGAAGGATTCGTCCTCCTTCCTCAGACTCTTTCTGAGGACAATCCTAAAGTTTTCGATTATAATAATTTTTTTTTCAACCAACTACAGTGGTTTATATCAATACAATGAAGACGACTTTTCTATTAGAATTTAGTTTCCATGTTTATGTGTATCTATGCTGTTTTAAAGCTTATAGTAAACAATTAAAATTGTACACGAAAGTCGTCTTCATTGTATTGATATAAACGACGACGACTGAAAACTATGTAAATATTCTCATTTGTCGCGACATCGTTGTAAACAATAATGTTGAAGTTAAAAAAGTGAAGTTTGAACATCCTCTCATAATTCTTTAATGTCGGCATGAAGAGACAGGATAGACAGGTCGTTAGGAAAACAAATAAGTTTAGGGACAAATCTTAAAGATAAAAAGAATAGGGCCAGAGAGATAGGATAGGTTAGGATATGTGAATTGTGAAAGGATGGTTTAGCAGTTTGGACAATTTTATGTTTAGGTCGAACGATGGTTTTTTTTGTGTTTAAAAAATGTTTAGCTATTCAATTTTTAGTTTACTTCTTTTTGCCTTTTTAATCTTCCATAGCTCCTTTATTGCTTAATTCTTTTCCTTTAAGCTCATTCTTTACATTCCTTGTTGTTTTGTATTTCTAGATTAATTAAATTATGTTATCTACTGTCCTAATCAGTTAGAAATCTGGAGTATTTATAATATTTTCAAAAAACCGAATTCTTGTGTTAATGTTTAACACTGATTGAGATATACATAGATATATCTCTCAATTCCTAGTACAACGCGACCCTAGATACTTGTATTCTAATCTGAAACCTTGCAGCATACAGAGTGTCCCAATAAACTTGGGAATTAAGTGACGAATTTAGTATCCTGCAGCTAAAACAACCTGAATTTTGTGAACCTTCAAAATTAACGGATATACCATGAGAAATTTGTCCAGATTCTAATTCATTGAATAACAACCAAATTGAGTTCAACAGTTTAATTTTAAAAATGTAAAGAAGGAAGACCACATTTTGAAAAGCTTAATAGGCCTGACGTATTTTTTTGTAAACTCTTAGTTATTTATTTACTATTGGAAATCAAAGAAGAGTTTTAAGTGGTATCTAAATTACCGTGTTCATCGGGACACCCTGTAGTTTAACAAGAGAATTGCTTGGAATGTTAGTTTATTTTACAATAAACAATTTGATAAAACACTAAATTAATCATGTCAAAAAAAAATATTTTAGATATTAATTTGAACAGTTTAATCCGGTTTGATCCGGTAAAAAAATTCCTTGTAATTTATTTTCAACCGAATTATTGATCTAAATGTATCTTATTTTAAGTGTCTGTAGTTCTCCTCGATTTAATAAATTAAAAATATCCTCGCGTTTCTTTCTAAAAATATCCTCGTGTTTCTGTTTAAAAATATTCTCGTGTTTCTGTTTAAAAATATCCTCGTGTTTCTGTTTAAAAATATTCTCGTGTTTCTGTTTAAAAATATTCTCGTGTTTCTGTTTTTAAAAATATCCTCATGTTTCTGTTTAAAAATATTCTCGTGTTTCTGTTTAAAAATATCCTCGTGTTTCTGTTTAAAAATATCCTCGTGTTTCTGTTTAAAAATATCCTCGGGTTTCTTTCTAAAAACATCCTCAATTTCTAATGGTGGTTTCTTTAAAAGGGACTGACGGATTTTATGCAACAATCAAAGTAACTTTTAGAATTTAACTCTTTTTAAAATGGAAAATAAGCGATATCTTTCCCATCGTTGCTCGGATGAAAATTTAAATGCATTGTGAATTGAGCATTCCATTGTATAAATGGAGAGTCACTTGAAACTACGTCTACAGACCCTTTAAAGAGAATTGATCTAAATTTTATTACCTAAAGAGAACTAATGTTACTTGTAAACTAAACTGTTATGAAGACTGATCTAAATTTTATTACCTACGGAGAACTAATGTTACTTGTAAACAAAACTGTTATAAATACAGATCTAAATTTTAGTACCTACGGAGAACTAATGTTACTTGTAAACTAAACTGTTATAAATACAGATCTAAATTTTAGTACCTACGGAAAACTAATGTTACTTGTAAACAAAACTGTTATGAAGACAGATCCAAATTTTATTTCCTACGGAGAACTAATGTTACTTGTAAACAAAACTGTTATGAAGACAGATCCAAATTTTATTACCTACGGAGAACTAATGTTACAATTAAACATAACTGTTATGAAGACAGATCTAAATGGAACAATGATCTCGATGAAATTTAAACTCAATGGAACTGATTTAAATAAACCAATCTCGATGAGACTGTTCTAATTTAGCCTAATCTCAATGAGACTACTCCAAACTATAACTCCAAAAGATCCTAATCTCAATGAGATTACTCTAATTTAACCTAATATCAATGAGACTACTCTGAACTAACCTAATCTCAATGAGACTACTCTAAACTAACCTAATCTCAATGAGACTACTCTAAACTAACCTTATCTCAATGAGACTACCCTATATTAACCTAATATCAATGAGACTACTCTATTTTAACCTAATATCAATAAGACTACTCCAAATTAACCTAGTCTCAATGAGACTACTCTAATTTAACCTAATCTCAATGAGACTTTTCTAAATTACCGAATCTAAATGAGACTTCTCTAAATTACCGAATCTAAATGAGACTTCTCTAAATTAACCTAATTTCAATGAGACTTCTCTAAATTAACCTAATATCAATGAGACTTCTCTATATTAACCTAATCTCAATAAGACTACTCTAATTTAACCTAATCACCCAGATCTAACATTTTGGTCCTTCTCATAGAAAGCTGTCACTTTCGATCCCTTTTTGAACAATAAAGCATACATTTTTATTCTTTTATACTTTTTTGTAGGCATATGCGGGATTTCGGGTTTAGTAAAAAAAGTAGAAAATGGCAACTTTGTAAGCTTGATTTTTGTAGAATTATAGACCAAAATGCGATTGAATTCTGATTAAAGAATTTGGACCAACTCTGATTCGTTGAGAGTGTAATCTCAATTCGAGACTGATTAAAAACCATGTTGATGTCATGTAACAAAATAACATAAGGTTGTCAGTTTTTTGCACCCTCAAAATTTATGGATTACACGAATTTGGTTATATTTAAATATATGAAATACAATTAAAATTGCCTAATTAAAACGCGCGTTATTATAAGGTTCAGTACCTTCTATATGGCTGGAGATAGTTTATCTAAATACAGAACTTTACCGACTTGTTTTTAATCTACTTATATTGATTATGCATCAGTAAAGATAAACTGTCACGTTTTAAATTGATTTTTTTCACACTTTGTAGTGTTTGTTTTACATTGGAGTCTACTACACTTGTCCAGCTTGAAAAGCACACGGATAAATAATTAAAAAACGTCCTAGGTTGAGACGGAGAGCTCTCTCCGTCCTGCTCAGGGTCTTACTGATCTCTCCAGGTGTTAAGAACAACAAATATGAATAAACCTAGTCTCCTTCATGTAAGAGAAAGTAACTCTTAACGTTTCAACACTTTTGTCGCGGAGATTCTTCTTTGTTTCTTGATTTGTTTCTAAAACTGAACATTTTGCGAAAAAAATGTGAAGTTTGGCAATCCGCCAACTTTAACTGTGAAGGTTAGAGATGAAACAGAAATAGAACTAAAGGGAAGCTACTGTATATATATATACTTATATATATAATTATATAAGTAGCTACATCACACAGGCATATAGGTAGCTACGTCACACAGACATATAGGTAGCTACGTCACACAGACATATAGGTATCTACGTCACGCAGACATATAGGTAGCTACGTCACACAGACATATAGGTAGCTACACACAGATATATAAGTAGCTACATCACGCAGACATATAGGTAGCTACGCACAGATATATAGGTAGCTACGCACAGATATATAGGTAGCTACATCACACAGACATATAGGTAGCTACGTCACACAGACATATAGGTAGCTAAACACAGATATATAGGTAGCTAAACACAGATATATAAGTAGCTACACACAGACATATAGATAGCTTCGCACAGATATATAGGTAGCTATACACAGATATATAGGTAGCTACGCACAGATATATAGGTAGCTAAACATAGACATATAGGTAGCTACACACAGTTATATAAGTAGCTACATCACACAGACATATAGGTAGCTACACACAGATATATAAGTAGCTAAACACAGATATATAAGTAGCTACATCACACAGACATATAGGTAGCTACGTCACACAGACATATAGGTAGCTACGTCACACAGGCATATAGGTAGCTAAACACAAATATATAGGTAGCTACACACAGATATATAGGTAGCTACACACAGACATATAGATAGCTACGCACAGATATATAGGTAGCTATACACAGACAAATAGGTAGCTACGCACAGATATATATAGGTAGCTACACACAGATATATAAGTAGCTACATCACACAGACATATAGATAGCTCCGCACAGATATATAGGTAGCTACGCACAGATATATAGGTAGCTATACACAGACATATAGGTAGCTACATACATATGCTACACACTGATTTATAGGTAGCTACAAACAGACATATAGGTAGCTACGCACAGATATATAGGTAGCTACAAGACATATGGGTAGCTGCACACAGATATATAAGTAGCTACATCACACAGACATATAGGTAGCTACGCACAGATATATAAGTAGCTACATCACACAGACATATAGGTAGCTACGCACAGATATATAGGTAGCTAAACACAGACATACAGGTACCTACACACAGATATATAAGTAGCTAAACACAGATATATAAGTAGCTACACACAGATATATAAGTAGCTACATCACACAGACATATAGGTAGCTACACACAGATATATAAGTAGCTAAACACAGATATATAAGCAGCTACATCACACAGACATATAGGTAGCTACGTCACACAGACATAAGGTAGCTACGTCACGCAGACATATAGGTAGCTACGTCACAGACATATAGGTAGCTACGTCACACAGACATATAGGTAGCTACGTCACGCAGACATATAGGTAGCTACGTCACACAGACATATAGGTAGCTACGTCACGCAGACATATAGGTAGCTACGTCACGCAGACATATAGGTAGCTACGTTATCTGCCTTTTTTGTGCTTTCATTAAAGATTTAGAAAACTTTGGTTTTACTTACAAATCAAAATCTGAACAAAATTCTTATTATCCCCGGTAATAATGACAGCACAAGCAAGGCAGACCACATTTTGGACTTGGAGAATTGTGTGGTTATTGTTAAAAGAATCATATATGTTAACCCTATTCCCTGGGACCTCCCTCACGTTTTTTGGAGATAACTCAAAAAAGTATTGGTCTGAGGCTGTTCACATTTTTGACTTTTCTAACACGTGCCCCTCACTTAAGGCTTAAAGCGGGGCTTTTATACCTACTGCCTGCCTGCATTATTTTACCATTACCAGACTAAATATAACTTGAACATAAAGAAGAAGATTGCACAATTTTATACCTACTGCCTGCCTGCATTATTTTACCATTACCAGACTAAATATAACTTGAACATAAAGAAGGAGACTGCACTATTTTATACCTACTGCCTGAATACATTATTTTACCATTACCAGACTAAATATAATTTGAACATAAAGAAGGAGATTACACAATTTTATACCTACTGCCTGAATACATTATTTTACCATTACCAGACTAAATATAACTTGAACATAAAGAAGAAGATTGCACAATTTTAAATTTTAAGGAAATTTGGCCATTTTTAGTTTTCCTTGAATACACATTTAGTTCTTCGAAATTTTGCAAATATTTTTGCATATTTGAATTTGCCGTGTCAAGGGCTTTAAAAAATGTATAATTTGTTCGCACGTTTTTTGCTTAATAACTTGATATTGCAATAAATATTTGCAAATTTGCAACATTTTTAATTCAAGTAGAGCATTTGGGCTTTCCAAAAGTGTATCAAATGTTTTAGATTTGTATCACATTGTAAGGATTTAGACTATTTTGGGTACAGGAGACGTGAGCCTGAACAGGGTTAAAGTACAGAGCGTCCCATATCATATTAGATTATCTCCAATCTTTAACACCAAAATACGCACATAATACTCGAAAAATCTAGCATTTTCTGCCAAAATAAATTTCTGTTAGCCTTATTAAATTTTTCAAATGATTCATTCTTCTTAAATTTTCTGATTTGTCCCCTAAATCGTAATTTAGACCCATTGACGCGGTCTAATTTGATGTGGGACACCCTGTAGGTTGGCGACTGAATGTCACCGATAAATTCAAAAATCAAAGACGACTTTAAGGACGTCTTGCTACTGTGTGTTCATGCAGAGGGTAAAAGTTAAATATAGACAAGAAATAAGCTTGGTGGCTATGTACAGGTTGTCCTTCGAAACATGACAGTAGCAAGACAACTTGATCTTGGAATCTATTTGCGACATTCAGTCTTCAACCTGCTTTCTCCGTGTATGATTCTTGAAACAATAACCGCAAAATTTTTCTAGTCCTGACATTTCCAAAATGTGGTCTGCCTTTTTTGGTGTGAGATATTAGGAATTTTGTTCAGATTTCAATTTTGGTAAAAAAATTAAAATTTGTTAAATCTGAACGAAATTCTTCATATCTCGGGTATGGGTAATATTGAAACCACAAATAAGGCTGACAACATTTTAGAAATGTCAGGACTAGGGGTATTTTGTTATTACTATCTCTAGAATTTTACTTCTAAAATTAGGTTGTCCAATAAATGCAGCAAATTAGATCAAAAATCAAAGACGACGTTCAAGTCATATTTCGTGGGACACCCTGTAATAGAAAACTTAAGTGTGCCAGATAGAAAATTTAACAAAAGCAGTCTTTAACCGAAGCAATTGAGTACATATCATTAAAATTTATTCCTATTCATTACTCTACATGTTTTGCTGATACTTAGATAACCATTAAGAGATATTTTTTTACCAAGATCTCTTTGGTGAATTCAAGAGATTGAAAAGCAAAAAGCTTATTATACGTTCGCGGTTAATATTACGCTGTCCAAGACAGAATAATTGGATTCAATATCTAGGACAGAATAATTGGATTCAATATCTAGGACAGAATATTTGGATTCAATATCTAGGACAGAATAATTGGATTCAATATCTAGGACAGAATATTTGGATTTAATATCTAGGACAGAATATTTGGATTTAATATCTAGGTCAGAATATTTGGGAATCATTATCTAGGACAGAATGTTTGGATTTATTTTCTAAGTCAGAATATTTGGATTTATTATCTTGGTCAGAATATTTGGGAATTAGTATCTAGGTCAGAATAGTTGGGAATTATTATCTAGAACAGAATATTTGGATTTGTTATCTAGGACAGATTCTAATTAAACATCTTAAACGAAATATTCTGATTGAGTATCTTGGACGGATCAAATCATTAGATTCAATATCAAGGTTGGATCGAATATTTAGATTCAAAATCTAGGACGACATATTAGCTTCTATGTATGACTAGGCTTTTAGGCCGCTGCGAGTCCATCTTTTATTACAATTGTGAACGTTTTCTCTTTGTATACATTGTAAAACTAAAACAAAAAAGTTCGCTATTTTATACAACAAAATTTGTGAATTTTCAAAGTTTAATCAAATCGAATTTTGTTGGAGGCTAAATTTTGAAATTTTGACCATTCATAAAACTTCCTGGGGTCATGTGAGGTCCCAAACAAAATTTGGGCCGGATCAGTTCAGCCATTTATTGGATACCCACAAACAGACAGACAGTATAAATAGATTAGGAAATAATTTTCTGAATTATTATCTAGGACGAAATATTCGGAAAAAATATCAAGAACGGATATTTGAATTTGATATCAGAGTTTCTTTCTTTGAATTGATAATTGATATGGATATTAGTGTAGATTTTTATTAAGGCACATAAAATCTTAAAATTATTTTTTCTTCTTTAAAAGATATGAATTCTCTAATTTGCCGCAGTCTCGTAGCAAGAAGCCGCAATTAAAAATAATCAATTTACGGGACAAAAAACAAGGAAACCTTATTATTTTTGCTCCATCTAAGGTTGTGCCCATTATGTGTCGAAAGTATAACTTTTTATTATGAGGCCACTTGAAAATTACGTCGAAAGTCAATAAATAAATGGTGTTGGTTGCGTAAATATGGAAAAAATAGAAGCAAGATAAGTTTTGAACATTTACGACTATTAAAGAAAGAGAGAAAATTAGTACCAAAAGGAATACTCAGGGGGGGGGCATGAGGGCTCAGCCCACCCAGGATCACTAAAAATCTATGGTTTTCATGGGGTTTCAGGCTCCAGCGGATTCTGAGTACCCTCCCCCCTTTGTTTGTAAAGTTATATCTTAGCTTTTTAAAATTCTCAACTGGAGCCTCGTTAAACGTTTATTCACTTCAAAATTTCAACTACAACTTACTCAAACAGGTGACTAACGGTGAATTTTAAATAAAATACCATTGATGAATGTTTTTATCTACCAATTATTATTATGTCAACAATAGCAAACAAATCATGGAATTGGTTGTCTTAAAAAGAATTATGTTTCATAAAACACAAAAACTCGGTTCGTTTTCAATGAAAAATATTTATTGATAAAAAATCTATCGTCGATTTCAAAAGTAACAAAAATAAATAAATTATTTGACTAATTGCTTTAAACTGCATTTAGGTAGAAGGCTTTAAACAATAACAGATTTTATGAACATTTGACTGGGGTTCATTAGTTCATTTACGTCCTCATGTCTGTTCTCCTCTGCATCTTATTCAAGATTATCATTAGTTTCTTCCATAACAACCTTCTTCTTCTCCTGATCCTCCTTCTCCTGGTCCTCCTCTTCGGCCTTCTCCTCCTCCGAATCTGTATCCTCCACAAAGTCGAATCCGTCCTTTTTTATCTTTCTCTTTATCTTGTCATACGCTTTCTTCTCCTAAATAGATAAAAAAAAAATACGTCGTAACGATGGACTTTATTTTTTTTAAGCAAATTAGGTTCCGCAATTCAAACTTTCACTTTCCAGAGATAATTTTTTTTGTACAGCCTATTCAAACAATATGTAATGTTTGTATGTAAATTGTAAGTTCATTTGTTAATTATTTATCAAAATATTTGTGCATTAATTATTGAAAGGATTACTTTTTTATATCTAATCTTATCCTGGGCAGCTCTATCCTTGTATGCGTCTTTATCCTCCTCACTGAGCTGAGACCAACCCCTGGAGCACTCCTAACAAACCGAACTATCAAGATAAAATTCAAACTCGTCCAACCTTATACCTTAAGGATACAATCCTAATCAACCCAGCCTTAAAGATACAATCCTAACAAACCAAACCATAAAGATACAATCCTAACCAACTCAGCCTTAAAGATACAATCCTAACCAACCAAACCTTAAAGATACAATCCTAACAAACCAAACCATAAAGATACAATCCTAATCAACTCAGCCTTAAAGATAAATCCTAATCTACGCAACCTTAAGGATACAATCCTAACCAACCTAACCTTAAAGATACAATGCTAACCAACCAAACCTTAACAATACAATCCTAATCAACTCAGCCTTAAAGATACAATCCTAACCATCCAAACCTTAAAGATACAATCCTAACCAACCAAACCTTAAAGATGCAATCCTAACCAACCAAACCTTAAATATAAAATCCTAATCAACTCACCCTTAAAGATACAATCCTAACCAACCCAACCTAAAAAGATACAATCCTAGTCAATCCAACCTTAAGATACAATCCTAATCAACCAAACCTTTAATATACAATCCTAACCAACCCACCCTTAAAGATACAATCCTACCAACCCATTCATAAAGATACAATCCTAATCAAACCAACCTCAACGATACAATCTTAGCCAACCCAACATTTATGACACAATCCATCCTTCTAGATAAAACTAAACTAAGTAAGTTTGGGCGTGGTAAATAGTTATTTTATAAAGAAAAGTGTAAAGTAGAGATTAACAATATCAGCTAGTCTGTAAACTAAGGATCTTGAATATTGTTTACAGAAAGAGCAGCACGAAGAAGATCTCCTCCTAACCTTTTCCATATTATTCTCATTGGTATCGCTGCACGATTTAAAAAAGAAAATAAAATAAAACTATTTAGAAAAAATAAAGTTTATGTCCCACGCTGTATTATATTATAATTATATGTTAAAGAAGCCATGGAAGAATAAGAAAAGATGGTAAAAACTAATTCGCAATTTATGCAAATGTTTAAAAATGCAAAAGAAAAGAAGTAATTAAAAAAAGATATTGATAGTTTTCGATTATCAACACAAATAAACAAAACTTTCTTCAAGCAAACACACAGCTCAATACTTTACTAAGTTAACCAACTTTCTCTGATCGGAGAGGAAGCTTTCAGTCCCTCTAATACATAGTAAATACATGTGGTTTCAGTTTAGGGTAAAATGAATAAGAAAAGTAGAGTTAGAGGATTATTATCTCTCTTGAAAAAAATAAGATAAAAACTCTTCAACTAAAATTAAACATAGGATAAGAATTCACTGAAATTTAAAGAACTTTTAAAATTATTTGAACAGAATAAAAATTAATATATATAATTCTCTAATGGCAAATAAAATATGTAACAATGAAATGATGTGATTAATTTGGAAAACATCAATATAAAAAAGAAAGATGTAATCGAGAACCTAATCCAAAAGCCCTTTTAACTCATACAGGGTTAACTGTAAAGAATGAGACTGTAAAGACGACCTAAAGGTTAATTTAAATTTTCTGCCTTGAATATAGTCTTTAACGGTTTCACAAATGATTTGCAAAGAAACAAGTTTACAGTGGCAAGGAATCATAAATATAAGGATACTGACGGAATATAAAGACACTGACGGAATATAGGGAAACAGACGGAATATAAGGATACTGACGGAATATAAGGAAACACACGGAATATAAGGAAACAGACGGAATATAAGGATACTGACGGAATATAAGGAAACAGACGGAATATAAGGAAACAGACGGAATATAGGGAAACTGGCGGAATATAGGGAAACAGACGGAATATAGGGAAACTGGCGGAATATAGGGAAACNAGGCATTTATGTGATTTAATATTTTAATGTTTGGTTGTAGGTTGCAATAACATGTTACCATTGACACCTCTCTTTTTTTATCCAATTGCGCGAGGAGATAAAATCTTCTCTTCTCATTCTCCTCCAACTTATTCCACAGTTGAACTGATTCTTGTTTTAACTCAGCACTGGAGCCCTGAACAATATATAGGATACTTGAACCTTGGAGTATACAGGATAATAGATTCTGGGAGTATAAAAGGTACTTGAACCTTGGATTACACAGGATAATAGATTCTGGGAGTATATAGGATACTTAAACCTTGGAGTATACAGGATAATAGATTCTGGGAGTATATACTATATAGGGTACTTGCACAATGGAGTAAATAGGATACTTATTTCTTGGAGTATACACTATACAGGATAATATATTCTGGGAGTATATAGGATACTTGAACCCTGGAGTATATGAATAGAATACTTGAACCTTGGAGTATATAGGATACTTGCACCTTGGAGTATAAAGGATACTTGAACCTTGGAGTATATACCTCTAAATATATTTCTAAATAATTGGAGTATATAGGATAGTTGAACCTTGTAATATATAGGATAATTGAACATGGAGTACATAGGATACTTGTAGCCCCCTGAGAAAATTAACTTAACCTGGAAACCTTGAGGTTCGTTTAGCCCTATGGGAACCTGAACCTAACCTCGGAACCTGTAGTGTCTAGTAGCCCCCTGAGAACCTGAACCTAACCTCGGAACCTGTAGTGTCTAGTAGCCCCCTGCGAACCTGAACCTAACCTCGGAACCTGTAGTGTCTAGTAGCCCCCTGAGAACCTGAACCTAACCTCGGAACCTGTAGTGTCTAGTAGCCCCCTGAGAACCTGAACCTAACCTGGAAATCTGGGTCTTCTCGTTTCAGTTTCTTTAGTCGGGACTGCAGGTAAACAAGAAAAGGTTTGTGTGCGCGACGGACCTTTGGACAATCCAGATCTATCTTTTCTATTTTTATCAATTTCGGCATTTTACAATCTGTAATTCTCTGAAAGGAAAAAAAATGATGAAAATAACAATAGATTTATATGAAAATACATTTATTGCTAATCTGCTATAAATAGTAATAAATCCCTCTAGCGGACATAATTTCAATTAATTGCCTCGGAAGTATGATTAATTACATTTTTACATGTACTGTTGGACAAATATTCTTCACAACTGTGTACAACTAGGAAACTATGATGCTCCTTGTATGAATGTACATGGGATGGGCACAATTGCACCATTTTTTTAAATAATTAGATTACAAGAATTTAGTAAGGAGCTCGAGGTATAGGTTCTGTAGGTTCAGTACTATATCAATTAAATCAATAAATCACACTAATATTATCAACAAGTTTCGGTATATTTATACCGGAGCAGAATGAATATATTTAAGCGACCAGGCCGAAGTTTCTCCTGGTCTGCAGACGCTTGATATGATGATAAATCTTGAGAGCAGGTCCGAGCTTTAATCCTAATCCTTGGAGTACGTCCCGTCTCTGCAAAACTAGAGCACTAGCACCGTCAATCTCCTTAACATTTATATTTCAGATATATTTAAGTTATAATGATAAAGCAAGAGAAAGGGGGGGGGGAGGGGTTAGATGCACATCACCCTTAATTGCCCCCCCCCCCCCCTCCGGCCTCCCTCCTCAAAAAAAAACACATTTTCCATTGTTTTAGTTATAAATCTAACCTGTTCAAAAAAGACCTTGGCAGCTACATCCTTGATGCCGTTCTGTACAAGATATTGGGACATCCTGGCCGGAGACCATCCGGATATATCCGGTATACTTTCATCAATCGGTAAATCTTGCCAGCGGGACGGATACTGATCCGGAGCAGGGCAAAATGCTCCGGAGAATCCTAGGACGGGCCATGGACCAACTCCGGGTGGAAGATTTGGTAGAAGTTCTTCAAAATATGTTGCGGCTCCGGGGGGATTGAATTTTTCATCATTTTCGCCCTTGTATCCGGTCTCGGCGGCGCAGGAGTCACATTCCCAGCGTCCTCTCGGCTTCCGGGAGATGGGCGGACGGTGACAGGTCATGTGATATCCTACATCACAGGAATCACAAAACAACATCTTATCCTGCAAATAAATTAGATTAAGATAAGGTCAGCTGAATCAACTCTCAATCCAACCAAATCCAAGGAAACTTTTTAGGGAAAACAAATCTAGTTTTAGAAACACGGTTTTTTCTGCAATTTAGTGCATTATTTAGTGATTCCCATTATCGATTCACTACCCTAACTTAAACCCATTATCTAATCACTTTCATTGATGATGGATGTGTTAGTTTTTTCTATACAAAAAATATTGCTATGGTTTAAAAGGGTTTCTTATTTTTTTTAAACATAACTTTAGAAATACTTGTTTCAAGAGAAAAAAAAAATCATAACTTACATCGTCTCCCGATTTTACACAGACAAAACATGTTTTGCAATCTATACACTGCCAGGGCTGTTTATAAATCCTGTCCGTTAAATCCTCCGGGTACTGCAAACAACTGGGATGCACTAAACAAACATATTTAAAACAAAATCTCCTTAATTGCGGAGTTAAAAACTATTAGAATAATAAACTACTTACAAATTTTGTCACAATCCTTGCAGAATATCAGTTTTTCGATCTTTTTATTTCCAGTATTACAGTTCATACAGAGGGCTCGTTCCTTAGGATCCTTCTTAGCTCTTAGGTTGAGGGATCCAGCACGTGTAGCTCTGGATGCTACTGGAAATTTAGGTTTTTCACCCTTTCCTGCAGGATGCTTTACCTTTCCATGCTTAGATAGCGGTGCAGTTCTCTCAGGCGGAGTAGACTTGGAGGGATACTTCTTAGGAGCAGGAACCTTAAAGGTCGGATCTAAACTTTCAGCGGATTTTTTATTTGCACCGTTTTCCAAAACTTCTTCCTCTTTTCGATCTCCAGTCATGGGAACGGAAACATTCCTTTCCTGGTCCGTACTCAACTCCTTCTGCCCTTTAAAAACTGATTTCTTAACCGTAGGTATCCTTAGAACTGGAGGGGGAACTTTTCTTGCGGATTCAGCTTTCCGTTCTGCGTGGAAATCATCAGAAATGAAGCTGAGCAAACTTGTAGGTTCGTCCTCAGGTTGAGGTATCTCATCTGCAGATTTTTTGGTTTTCGGAAGGATGGGACGAGGGCCAGTCACAGCCTTCTTAGAGATCTTAATATCACTTCGTTGAAGACGATCTATTCGTCGTTTACCAGGAACTAAATTGTCTAAATCTTCTGAGGAAGGGGAGTTAATCATCAATCCGTCCTTATTTGAAGCATTGGGAGTTCCGTTCTTCCCAGACGTAATTCCGGTTAATCCGCCATTTTTACCAAGAGTAGAGGTTCCACCTTTCTTTCCAGATGGCGCATCAGTCAGCAAACCTTTCTTCACAGGTTGATTTCTTTCGATAACATCTTTCTTTCCTGATATATTTATCCCAGTTCCATCCTTCTTGCCGGTCTGAGTTTTTTCTATCCCCTCTTTTTTACATGAGAGGGTCCCTTTTTTAGCAGGAGTTGTGTCAGATACATCCTTTTTCCCAGATAGAATTCCATCTTTCTTTCCAGAGAAAACTTCATTTCTTCCGTCTTTCTTATACAGTCGAACAGCTTCTTTTTCTACTTCCTTTACAGCTTGGTTCCCATTGATCATGTCATTTTCTCCTTCATTCTGTGGTTCGTTGAGAACATCCTTTTTATTAATCTTCTCCTCCTTTTTGATATGATTTGATTCAGGCATTTGTTTCTCTGAAACTGGTTCAGAAATACTATCAATCTTCTCCCTACTTGGCTTGACTGCTTCCGGTTTTGTTAAAGATTTTCTAGCACCAACTTTGGACTGAGTTTCCGTGGGGTTGGTTTGTTTTCCCGTACTGGATCGTCGACCCTGAGAAACAACCGACCTGGAAACTGGAACCTGTGGAACTGAATCTACGTCCTTTACTGTATTCTGGGTAATTATTAATTTCTGATCAGGTTTAATCTCCGGAGTGCATTTAGGACTCTCTGATCTGTTTCCAAGCTTCTCTGGGTTACTGATTGCTGTTGGATCCTGAGACGGGCTGTTGGTTCGACATCTCTTCATAATTCTGCTCGGGACATCGTGGTCAGCAGGATCAAAGATTTTACGGGCTCTCTATACAAAATTATTAACAATTAGTAATTTAGATTTTCTCATATTTTAATATTTACAATGTTTTAGGAAAATGTTCTGGCTCAGCCTACGCAAAGCATAAAAATTTGAACGATTTTAACAAAAAATAATTTGACTGACCCTCTTTTTGTTAAACTGTTAATATTTAAACTATTCCTAATTCAACACTCTCTTCAATTTTCAACATAAATAAAATAATATTTCTTATCATGAAGAGACAGTACCATTGTGTACAAAACGATGAATTATCTCAGCAGGTTTTAAATATCTGGAAATAAATATAAGACAGAAAAATTGACTAGGCCTCAACTTCGGTTCAAATCAATTTTCGATCACCTCAGTTGCAATTAATGGTCAATAACTTTAAATAAAGTTAATTCAGTTGCAATTAATCGTCAATAACTTTAAATAAAGTTAATTTCGATGAACTCAGTTGCAATTGATGGTCAATAACTTTAAATAAAGTTAATTGCGATCAACTCAGTTGCAATTGATGGTCAATAATTTTAAATAAAGTTAATTGCGATCACCTCAGTTGCAATTGATGGTCAATAATTTCAAATAAAGTTAATTTCGATGAACTCAGTTGCAATTAATCGTCAATAACTTTAAATAAAGTTAATTTCGATGAACTCAGTTGCAATTGATGGTCAATAACTTTAAATAAAGTTAATTGCGATCAACTCAGTTGCAATTAATGGTCAATAACTTTAAATAAAGTTAATTGCGATCACTTCAGTTGCAATTGATGGTCAATGACTCTAAATAAAGTTAATTGCGATCAACTCAGTTGCAATTAATACTCAATAATTTTCCACTAATCAATTACGGTCAACTCATTTGCGATCATGACGCGATACTCATATATTTTAAATTCAAATCTTAATTGCAATTTAGCTTTGTATTTGTTATTTAAAACTTTATTTCAACAAAATAATATTTTTAAAAAAATGTTTAGCTGCAATAAGAGGCTAGCAGTTATGTACAAAACTGTACAGAACATTTAGGCTTCTAATAAGGAATATATACTTCCGTGTGGAAAATTTGAGACAAATTAACAGTAATTTTTTGTGATGTTTATTGTTTATTTATGACTTTTCCATTGAAATGAAAACAAATTATCTCTTCACAGTTTTGATATGATTGCAATACTAAGACTTATTACTATTAACATAATTTTATATTACTATTTCCATGAAAAAATCCTAGCGAGTTTAGCTGAGTTTTATCCAACTTCATTCAAGATTCTTTTAAGATCGAAAAATTATATGTTTTCATATTAATATTTTTTACCTTCGTCCTTCCACTGGAAGTTCGCGTAGTTACTTCAAGACTTGGAGGAACCAGATCAGGCATAGATTCTTCCTCAGAGTCCTCGCTATACATCTTTCTTTTTCTAGAGCTCCGCTTTGGTTTAGACTCCCAACTTTCTTCTTCCAACCTCCCCAGAGACAGTTCTTCCACAGATGCATCTTCCATGCTGACATCTTCATTCTTAACGATGGTAATTTCTTCCACAGGAGTTTCTTCCTTCTCCACTTTTATCTCTTCTTGAATGTGACCTGGTTCAGAAGTAACAGGCTTAGGTTTAGCTTCCTTTACAGTGATTGAAACCTGCCAGGCCTCTTTCTTCAGTTTAGGTTTAATAGGAACTAGAAGAGGTTTCTTCTGATCCTGAACTCTAAGTTGTATATCCTCAGATTCCATCTTCAAGGTTTCTACTGAAGCTGGAACTATTACCGGGAGAATTTCTACACCGGGACAAGGAGAATTGTTCTCTTTCTTCACCTTAACCTTCCCCGACTTCATTTTAGATTTCATCTTGAGTAGATTGCTATTGATTAACTTCTCCTTGATTAGATCATCCTTGAGTTCCTCTTCCGACTTAACAATTCTTACTCCGTTGGAGAACTTAATCGGAAAGTTTCCGTCCTGATCAAAGGTTCCGTATTCCGAGTATTTATCCGGTTTATTTCCCCTCATATCTGCTTCCATCTCTAAATATCTCTGCGTGGGTTTAGGTTTCCGTTTGGAGCATTTTAACGGAATAGTACCTCTGTAATGTTTATCTTTGTTTATTCTTGCAAGAATAAATGTCTTCTCTGTATGCTTGACTAAGTAACCTAGATGGATTTCATGAGCAAGAATGGTTTCAAGATCTCTGTAGACCGCTCGCTTGTTGATCGGTCTCCGAGTGATCTCCAAGGCCTGCACAATGTTCTCTCGCGTGACAAACCCGTTTGTAAGAACGTTCAACTCCTCCCTCAGGATAAGGTTAAGGGTGACTGGATCCATTTTTTCCCCTGGACTCTCTTTAACCTTTCCAACCTTCGGGGATTTCTTGGGATTTCTAGGTGGCTTAATGACAGGAAACTCTGAACCCTGTTGTTGCTCTATCTGACCCGGAGAATTTTTCCTCCGTCCTACTCGCTTATGCAATCTCTTCTCCGACGTAATTCTAAATGAGATGCTTCCCTTGTAATCAACCTAAATATATAAAAGATTGTTTAACAATAATTAAATTAAATTAAATTCACAGATTAAATAATATTTTATCACATTAGATAATTGAATGAATTAATAGTGCTACTGCAAATATTTAATAAACAGAACATTATATAATACAAAACTACAACGTTCTTTAGAATTCAAAAACAACAATTTTTATGTATTTAAGAGTAATGATTAATATTCGGTATTCAATTCCCTTTGAGTTGTAAAACTAAATTAATGATAATTTAAGTTTTCAACCTTCTCAAGAACAGCTTCTTTACACAGTTCGTCTATCTCTCGTACAACTTCGTGTACGGATCTCCCGTACTTCCTGTTCACCCAGTTACAGATTCTTTTAGTATCAGGTCGCGCCTTCCTTCCTTTCATAACAGATATAGAGGCTAGGACAAGATCTCGAGTTGGCGTGTTCACACCTTTGTCCTCGTTGATGGACAACTCCGCCTCAGGCGCAATACCGGAGGAAATTGTGGTGAAGGACTGGATGTTACACTCTGTGGCGGACACGGCAGATAGGTTTGGAAAGTTTAGAGAGTAGAAATTTGACATCTCCTGCGGCAGAACTGTTCCTGTGTCAATATACAGGTTTTCATCATCGCTCTTGGTTCGGGTTTGCTCATCCAGATACAGCTGATCCTAAACATATGGTTTATTAGCTTTCGTATCGTTACAGTGCAATACTTTTTAATTGTATCTCAAATTAAATATTAAGGGGCACAACTATTTTCAGATTTAGTCCACCATTTACATAAAATTAACTATGAATTAAACTGAAGTTTATTAGAACAAATAAGATTTCAAAAAGTCCCAACTCTTTTAGTACACATTTTAAAACGAATCAAGTGGCATCAGTGTAGACAGATCAAGTTTCTGAAGAAAATCAAGTGTTCGGAGGAGAAATTTGGCCGGAGGATAAAATCTAGATGAGAAATGATTCCAGGGGCCGATAAATGTGTTCGGAGGATGTCAAGTGTCTAGAGGAGAACTTGTATCTAGAAAAGAAATGTGTCTTGAGGAAAAATGTGTCCGTAGGAGAAACGAGTCCAGAGAAGTGATGTCTTGATCTCAAGGGGAGATCAAGTTCCTGAAGGAGAAATGTTTCCGGAGGACAAATTTCCCCGAAGAATGTTTCAGAATGAAAAATGTAATAGAAGAAGAAATGTGTCAGGAGGAGAAATTTGTCAGGAGGAGAAATGTGTTAGGAGGAGAAATGTGTCAGGAGGAGAAATGTGTCCGGAAAGAAATGAGTCAGAATTGTACCAGAAGGAGTAATGTGTCTGGAGTAGATCAAGTTTCCTGAGGAGAAATGTGTCCGGAAAAGAAATGTGTCCAGAGTAGAAATGTGTCTGGAGGAAATCAAGGTTCCGAAGGAGAAATGTCTCTGGATGATATCAAGTTTCCGACGGAGAAATGTGTCCGGAGAAAAAATATTTCTGGAGATAAAGTTTTCGGAGAAGAAATGTGCATAGAGAAGATCGAGTTTCCGAAGGAGAAATGTATCCGTAGTAGAAATGTGCCCGAAGAAGAAATGTATCTGGAGGAGATCAGGTTTCCTGAAGAGAAATGTGCCCGGAGGGGAGGAGAAATGTATCTAGAGGAGATCAGGTTTCCTGAAGAGAAATGTGCCCGGAGGGCAGGAGAAATGTGTCTGGAGGAAATCAAGTTTCCGTCGGAGAAAAGTGTCCGGAGGAGTAATGTTTAGGACGGACCCTTTTTTTGAGTACTGTAAGAGGTTGTTTTGTACATTATTCAGACGAAATGCCAAATACAGTTTTGTGTCGAGTGCGCAGTAAAAATATGAATGAAACCAGTTTATAAATTATAAACGCGGTTCATACATATCTTAATGTGTGTGGTAACGAGTATTTTATGTATATAATTAATAAGTATTATTTAAATATGAATCATATTAAACATAAATGCATGAAATATCGGTTAACGAGCACGGAACTGAAAATAGTGAAAAATCATTCAGAACTAGATTTTGATCATTAAAGACGACATTATCCGATTGCAAGAATTGTAAATATCCGGATTGTACAAATACGGAAAATGATCGAAGTCCGAGAAAATATGAAGACATCTAAAGTATGCTAGGTTTGATCTGACCGGATTATTGGTGTTAACCAACCTGAATAATTTGAGAATAGTTGGAGTCGTGTTGGCTGCTCGGCCCAGACACTGACATCACTCAGGGATTCACTCACATCTAGAAACAGAGAAATAACAATCATACACATTCAATGTTATGTATTAAGAAGTTAAACTAGGTTTTGAGATAATTAACGATGAAATTGGAGGTATGTCAGGGTTAAAACCTAACTTCAGAAACGCTTGAAAAGATCGATTATACACACGCCTGAACAAAAATTTATCATGCGCATCACTTAAACCTACGCTTTTTAAAAACGAACCGAACCAATATTTTTGTTTCTAAGGTATCTAGGAGTATTCCACAGATAACTGAGACATTTTTAACCTGTTAATTTATGTTATGAACTGCTAGGAACGAAGATACAATTGTCCGCCTGTATATCTCTTGTTGTAGAGCAAGGTAGCAGTATCAGAACTGCTGTAGATTCTGCGCAATGAAAGCGCGGAGCATGCGCACAACTTCTCTAAAATCTCCAGCCGTACGTCCGCCAGAATTTGCAGCTCTGAGCTCTGCTTGAATATTGAGACCAAACTTGTAAATATCTCACCCCTTGTATTACTCACACTTCCTTTGTAGTTATAAGTTTAGAGATAATAGACAATTCTTTAAGCAGTACGTTCTTCTCTCTTGATTAGAAATGAGGGACGGTTCACCTGAGCTAAATATCCGTGTAAGGAGATATCACGACGTGATAAGTCCAGTTTCATGTTTCCCTGATCCTAAGGTTAAAACATCTTAAACCTTCCTTATAGCTAGACCTTTAAATACTCATAGTTGATGAATTACTAAAATATAAGTTCAAAGTTTACCTATTTAAATAAAGAATTGATGAGAGCGGAGCTAGGATTCGTGTTCCGAGACCTGTCTCCTGGTGGACTGTAAAATAAACCTCTCACTCCCTGCAATCATTCTCTCTAGAAATCCAGTTTCGGACCTCCGAACCCTGCTCTCCGGATAGAACGCAAACCAAGAAACTAGCAAACTCCTTTATTACAGCCAATGTATATATCATCCCACCTTGAGATCTTTTTACCCGCTATAGTATTACCGAAAGCTCAATCCTGAAGTCATATGACACCGAACCTTGGAGTTTTATTTGCAGTGTATAGTACGTGTATTTGTTTAGTTGAATCAGGAGTTGCGGACACACTGAAGGTTCAAGAAGTGTTCTCTGTTCTCTGGGTACTGTATTTAATAGAAATACTGCGATGTAATAAGACGGAGCTACAATGTCCACAAATATTTAAACGTATCCTTATCAAAAGAAGCTATTAGTAGAAACTCAGGAATCTTATACTCTCTCTCTCTCTCTCTCTCTCTCTCTCTCCGCGGTGAGGAAATTTCTCCGTTTACTTTCATAATTTATATTGAAAAATGAAAAACTGGCCCCAGACTATTTCTAATATTGCAGCTGTTTCATTCCACATTATGTTTCTTATTTAGCTTTTTTATCAGAACAATGTATAGATATGAATTGTAATTTATGTGCAATGTGCATTCTGCATGCCATTGCTAAAGTTAAAGTTAACAGAAAAAATTGTTATGATTATGAAAAATAGAGAATAAAATAAAAAACTTTTGCATCTTGATTAATTTCTTCAAAAACTGCTTGGTTTAATATCATTATAATTGCAGTAATTACCAATATGAAGAAAAATACTTGTCGTCTCTGAATTCTTGTAATTATAAGGGTCGCTTAGGAATTTTATATAATTTGTGAGTGTACGTGTGACTTCTATATCGATATTATAAAAAACTTTCAGAGATGTATTTTCACGTCAAACTAAATTAAATGTAAACAATGATTAAATATCTTTCAAATCATAACTCCTCTAATTGAAGAGGTATATTGAAAGGAATAAAAATATTCTAATTTTAAACTGTAACGCGGGTAATTTGCTTTTCTTATACTAATCAAAAGCGTAAAATAAAAACTAGAGGAGAAATAAATTTAGGTCACAAAGTCTGACCAGCTCAGCAACGTCATGACAATCTCCTGTGTTTTTACAGTGCATTAGTCAACAGTTTCGAAATCAAATAAATTTAAGACACTTTCAATTAAAAGAAAGGAGAAAGACTGCAATCAATAATTATTAATTACATTCTCATTAATATTACCAAATAAAGAAATGACTTCAATGATTAATGAATACCCTTGTAAATATGTTTTAAAGGATTTGAAAATAATCTACGTTCAAAGGAATAATTCTCTAGATAAAGCAAAAATATATATTCATGATTTATTGATTTTAGAAAAGAGTAGAATTAACAATTGAAAACTGAGTAGAATATTTTTGAAGAAAAAAGATTATAACTTGAAAAGGACCTAATTGGGAATGATAGAACTACTGGAGTAACATATAGGGAAAGTAAGAATTATATGAGATGAATTATATGAGTTAAGACTGACACGTTCTTTTTAGATGATAAATATTGAAGAGATCTTTTAAAAAAGTTTTTATTGCTCTTTAGTGTATAAGTAGTCGTTATCCATAATATGCACAAGGCCGATAAAGAACCAAGGAAAAAATGAGAACTAAAGTTATCATTTCCATGAAGTAGTCCAGCTTTGATAAGACAGAATTAAAACGGCTTGGAAGACTTGGAACCAGGAACTCGAAAACGAACCAGGGGCGGACTAAACCAATATCTCTTGGGGGGGAGGGGAAAAAGTTTGGCCCCCTCCACTAAAAATTGAACAAAAAGCAGTAAATTTCCAATTTCCTATTTATTATAACATTTCAAGATTTTCACTTAGATTAAACATTTTATTGAGATCGATTAAGCATAAGTTTATTAAGAAATAAACAATTAAATCGCTGTCCAATTCATAATTTGAATAGAAATTTAAACATGTTTACCAATTAAAACGAATTGTCCATAATAAACAATATGGAACATTTTAGCATTTTAACATTTATAGATATCTAATCAAAGGTGATGATGTTGGTGATTATCTATTCTTTTTTGAGCGCTTAATAAAAATTTAATAAATCCCTTTTTACATGTTTAATGAGTTTTTACAGTGATAACCAGAAAACTCTGAAATAGGTATGACGACTTTTAAACTCAAGTTAGGACTTAGTGAACAAATTAGACATAGCAATTTTACAGTATAAATAGACCCTAATCACTTAAATTGTGCTTTGCTAAGTTACTAGTAAAAATATTTGCTTTGTAACAAAATCAGAACGCCTAAGTATTGCTGTAATGTCGTCTTCCTATTCCACTGTTTTCTTGTTATCACTGTATGAGAAAACAATATTAAAAGGTATTTCAGTTCAGGTCATTTATTCAATACTATGTTCGTTGTATCTTTCATCCCTTGATGCTTTTATTTTATATCATGAATTTCCCTAGGGGGGCCCCTCCCCCTCCAGGAGCTGACGGGGGCCCGTGGGCACAGGCCCCCACTCTAGTCCGCCCCTGAAACTAACTTTTTCTAAGTTCTAAGTATAAATTGGCTTATTCAAACTAAAAGATTGATAGAAATAAAAAACAGTTAGTTAAGTGAAGAGGTTTCGAATCAATAACGTCTCTTCCCAGGCTCTTGAATAAACACTGGAGAACAATAGAAACATAATCATGATTCTTATTTTCTAGGACTTACTGTATTTAAAGTTGTCTGGCACCTGCTCCGTGTTTCAAACCATGAGACTTACAAATTCACGGTTACACACTACACTCTATATAACTGCCTGAAAATCAGCTGTATATTTGAAGGTTATCCAGCTCATGGAGGAGGCGTCGAGTAAGGAGGGAGGGAGGAGATAGATACGGAGAAGGGAGGGAAGGGGGAGATTAATTACTGAGGAGAACGAAGAAATAGATACGAAGAAGGGTAGGGAGGAGATAGATACGGAGAAAGGAGGGAAGAGAAACGGAAAAGGTAGGAAGAAGAAGGAGATTGAAACAGATGAGTGGAGTTGAAGGAGATACAGAGGAGTGGAGTTAAAGGAGATACAGAGGAGTGGAGTAGAAGGAGACACAGAGAAGTGGAGTGGAAGGAGATACAGAGGAGTGGAGTAGAAGGAGATACAGAGGAGTAGAGTAGAAGGAGATACAGAGGAGTGGAGTGGAAGGAGATACAGAGGAGTGGAGTAGAAGGAGATACAAAGGAGTGGAGTAGAAAGAGATACAGAGTTGAGGAGGGGAGTAGAAAGAGATACAGAGTTGAGGAGGGGAGTAGAAGGAGATACAGAGGAGTGGAGTAGAAGGAGATACAAAGGAGTGGAGTTGAAGGAAATACAGAGGAGTGGAGTAGAAGGAAATACAGAGGAGTGAAATAGTAGGAAATACAGAGGAGTGAAATAGAAGGAAATACAGAGGAGTGGAGTAGAAGGAGATACAGAGAAGTGGAGTTGAAGGAGATACAGAGGAGTGGAGTAGAAGGAAATACAGAGGAGATGGAGTAGAAGGAGATACAAAGGAGTGGAGTAGAAGGAGATACAGAGTTGAGGAGGGGAGTAGAAGGAGATACAAAGGAGTGGAGTAGAAGGAGATACAGAGGAGTGGAGTAGAAGGAGATACAGAGGAGTGGAGAACAAGGAGATACAGAGGAGTGGAGTAGAAGGAGATACAGAGGAGTGGAGTAGAAGGAGATACAGAGGAGTGGAGTGGAAGGAGATACAGAGGAATGGAGTATAAGGAGATACAGAGGAGCGGAGTTGAAGGAGATACAGAGGAGTGTAGTAGAAGGAAATACAGAGGAGTGGAGTAGAAGGAGATACAAAGGAGTGGAGTAAAAGGAGATACAGAGGAGTGGAGTTGAAGGAGATACAGAGGAGTGGAGTTGAAGGAGATACAGAGGAGTGTAGTAGAAGAAAATACAGAGGAGTGGAGTTGAAGAAGATACAGTGCTGCGGAGAGGAGTAGAAGAAGATACAGAGCTGCGGAGGGGAGTAGAAGAAGATACAGAGCTGCGGAGGGGAGTTGAAGAAGATACAGAGCTGCGGAGAGCAAGTAAAGAAGAGAAGGAAGTGAATAAAGTCAAGTGAAAATAAGGATAATAAATACATATAAACATTATACATTGGATATTCAGATTTGTAAAGTGTGTGATGGTTGGATAGAAGAAGAGGAGGACGGGAATAGAGGTTGAAGGACGGCTGTGAAGAAAATATTTGTTTATCCTGTGGTAATATTAGAAAATATGAACAGGTTTCATCTATTCATTTCTCCCTACGGAGAGAAAAATGAGGATTGAAAGAGAAATATTGATTCTTGAATTGGTCTGAGGTATCATTTCTCCACTCATGGACCGAGGTTCAGATATTCAAATCCTGTATTATATACAGGGTTACCCACTGTTAATACGACCCAAGATTAAGCACAAAAATAAACCAAGGAAGCCTGAATGCAACAAAACGGACTAAACAATTTCCGTACAGTCGTCTCTGAAGTCTCATTCATTATGGGAACCCTGAACACTATGCACTATTAAAAATAAAGTATGAAAATGAAGTAACAGGAAGGAGTTTCATTTGTTGAAAAATGTTGTTTTTAATGTTGAAATATACAAAATAAATTTGATTTTATGTCCACAATAAAGTTGTTATGTCGAAGGATACAAAAAAAAACAGTTTAAAGTTAAAAAACATAATTTTAGATAGGAAATAAGTTACAGAATAGGTTACAGGAGACAAGATACAGAATACAGGATGCAGGATTTGAGATACACAGAGGCTCAACTTGTTTAATGATATCTCATCCTCGCTTAGCGTGTAATGAAATTCAAAGTCTCCAAAATACTCGGTAAAGTACATTCCCGGTTAAATAAACAGTTATTTCTGGTAAATTCTCGCAAATAGTAAAAAATGGTTATTTTTAGATTTTCCATTTCTATTTTTCTCCTAGTTACATGTTTCATGCAGGTAATATGGGATTGGGGATGAAACTAAATGGTTTCATAATATTGATAAAAAATATTTTTCAAATATAAAGGTTTTGAAGATACAGAATAATGGATAATTTATTCAATATACAGGATACAGGATACAGGGTTCAATAATCAAGATACAGGAAAAAGAATGCTAGGTTTCAATGATTAAGATACAGGAAAAAGAATGCTAGATTCAAGATACAGGATACAGGATGATTGATTCAACATACAGGATACAGGGTTCAATAATTAAGATACAGGATAAAGAATGCTAGATTCAAGATACAG